GTCAGCCACCCTGCTCTCTCTTAATGACCCTGCTCTGGAATTCCTTTGCTATGGGCCAGATACACCAATTTCTGAAATGCTCTTGGATCCAGCCCTTGGGCCCTCCTGCTGCTTTCCTCCATGACTGCTCACATAAAACCTTGACACACGCACAACCGCCTTCAACAGATGTAGTCTCACACTGGAAATAAAAATGTGAACAGCGATCTTCGAGACAGATGCGCTGAATCGCAGGATGGACACTTTAGAAATCCGAATTAGTAAGTCAGGAACCAGACTAAACTGAACTCAGAGTAGAAAGTGAGATCATTTATGAGAGGTAAAAAAAAACAAAAAAACATTTAAATTAAAACGGAGCCTTGATCCAGGATAAGACTTCATAGAAGGCAAGAGACTGAAAAAGAAATGGGGGGTGCAGGCTGAGTAAGTTCTAGAACTCTCTGCCGACGCTCTTGTGCCCGGGGTGAGCAACACTGCCTTGGGCACCGCAGAATGCCACAGGCTGAGCTATGCAAAGTGCTCTAACCGGGATAAAAATTGAAAGTTGCCGAGAGGAAGATCACATTGGATGTGGTCAAATAAAACAAGAGGAAAAATTTCTTTGGGATGAAATTACAATAATAATCATCAAACAAATTAGAATCAAACAAATTAGATCAGAGTCTCTTAGTGCAAAGCAGAATTAAAGAGAGACCAGAGCAAAACACAGCCTGGGGCCAGTGGGAAATTCCAGGGCGAATGTAGAAGAATGAGGATGCGCATTGTCTACTGGGTAAACCTGGGCACGGAGCACACAGACACTATTGCTAACGCCAGAAAACCCGCGCAGTTCTAGAAGGCCACTCCGTTAGCGGCAATCACCAACATCACAGCAAGTTAATTATCAGAAGATCGGGAAGCAAATTCACTCTCCTATGACAAAAGTACTTTGTGACTTTGAGTGAACAAATATAATTTTCTATCACAAACATTTTATCAGACAATCTTGGGGTGCCCGGGTGGCTCAGTAGTTTGGCGCCTGCCTTTGGCCCAGGACGTGACCTTTGAGTCCCGGGATCGAGTCCCACGTCGGGGCTCCCTGTGTCAGGTCTGCTTCTCCCTCTGCCTGCGTCCCTATCTCTCTCTGTGTCTCTCTATGTCTCTCATGAATAAATTAAAAAAATCTTAAAAAAAGAAAGACATAATCTCAAGGTCACAAGTCAACAATCTTTGGAAGACACGTATTAAAATGAGTCTTTCAATGCTATAGAACAGACTATATAAAAATCCAGCTTCACACACACAAAAAAATCCAGCTTCACAATGACAAAATGCAGATTCAGACTCAACTTTATTGTTTGTAAAATGACCGTGAGGATTTCTAACCCTCTGACTACCTACTCACAGGCTGACGACTGGCAGAGCGCTCCTAGAAACTTGCGGGTACAGTGTCACCATATTGCTAATCAAAACGGAGACCACTTATATAATTTCATTGAGAGATATCTCAAAAGACCTAAATAATTGAGATCAGAAGACTCAATGTTACAAAGATGTTCTTCACAGACAGAGCTGTAGGTTCAGCACAATCTCAGTGTAAAGTCCAGCGTGTTCTCACTGTGGAATCCAGCAGGTGGAAATGTAAAAAGCCGAGAATAGCCAAAATATCAGCAGCATTTATCTGATTTCATTTTTGAAGATTTTTAAATTCATTTTGACGTAATCTCTACACCCAGCATGGGGCTTGAACTCACAACCCAAAATCAAGAGTCACAGGCTCTGCCCACTGAGCTAGCCAGGCCACATGTATTTCAAAGCTATAGTAATGAAGACAATGTGGTACTGACACAAGGACAGATCGATAGACTAGTGGGACATATTAGGATCCAGAGATAGACCCACATTATATACGGACACTTGATTGATGACAAAAGAGCCCCCCAGGACAGGAGGACTGGGCCAACCAGAAATCCTTGTAAAAAAATGAAATTTGGGGATCCCTGGGTGGCGCAGCGGTTTGGTGCCTGCCTTTGGCCCAGGGCGCGATCCTGGAGACCCGGGATCGAATCCCATGTCGGGCTCGCGGTGCATGGAGCCTGCTTCTCCCTCTGCCTGTGTCTCTGCCTCTCTGTGTGTGTGTGTGTGTGACTATCATAAATAAATAAAAATTCAAAAAAAATTGAAATTTGGGGCGCCTGGCTGGCTCAGCAGTAGAGTGCGTGACTCTTAATCTTGGGGCTGTGAGTTCAAGCCCTGCACTGGGAGTAGCGTCTACTAAAACCAAATAAATAAATATACTTTAAAGAGAGAAAGCCATTAAAAAAAATGAAATGTGACTCCTTCCTCACACTGTACAAAGATAAAATTAGTCTCAAGTGAATTAAAGCTCTATGAATGGCGAACAATAGAACTTCTAGGAGGGTCATGGCAGGTGTCCTCAACAGCATCCGACCATCGGGCACTGCCTACCAAAGGTGAGCCTGTGGATACCCCCTGGTGACTGTCTCGGGTAAGGACCTGATGACACCGGGGAGCACTAGGCATGACGGCTCCACGCCGGAGCCCCCCCGACTGCAGACATTTCCTGCTGGCTCATTTTCATCACCGGATTCCATGCTGTTCCATAGCAGAGATCATAATTTGCCCTTTGCTTTCTGACACAACTCTAAGGCATCATTCACGCTGGTTCCTCTGTGGACGTGACCATCTTTCCTTAAAAACTAACTTATGGGATGGGGCGCCTGGGTGCTCGGCTGGTGGAGCATCCAACTCTTCGTTTCAGCCCAGGTCATGCTCTCAGGGCCCACTTTGGGCTCCTCAGGTCAGGCTCTGTGCCTGGCAGGGAGTCCGCTTGAGGGCTCTCTCCCCTTGCCCCTCCCCGCACTGACCCACATGCTCACTTTCTCTCTGTCTCTCTCTAAAATAAATAAATAGAGCTTTAAAAAAATCAATGAGTAGGAGTTCTTTGCATCTTAAGGATTTTAACCTATTATTTGTTGCCAAATTTGTCATTAGTCACATATTCTTTACAGCATTTTGCTTTATGAAAGCTTTGGGGGTTTTTAAAAGATTTTTAGTACTTTATCTGAAAGGGAGAGAAGGTGAGAGAATGCAAGCAGAGGGAGTGGGTGGCAGAGGAAGAGGGAGAAGCAGGCTCCCCGCTGAGCAGGGGGGCCCATGCAGGGCTCCATCCCAGGACTCCGGATCATGACCTGAGCCCAAGGCAGATGCTTAACAGGCTGAGCCACCCAGGGCCCCAAAACTTCACACTTTTTATGCCGTGAGTTTATTATCAGTACTTTCAAGTATGGCTTTGGCTTAGATGACATGCTTAGAGTCGCTTTGTTCCACACCAAGATGATAAATGCATCCACCCAGATTTTATTCCAATATGTACACGGTTTTATGTTTGTTCAGTCCCTGATCCATCTAGAATTTATTTATTTAGTTTATGTGTAGGGTTTTCCTTCAGTGCATCATCATATTAAACCTTCTCTTCCCCCCCCCAAATATGAAGTGCCACCTTCACCGTTTATCCAAGTGCCATGTGGACGCTACTATAAGGGAGGGGAGACACCCTGTGGCACATCACACATCTTAGAGTGGTTCGGGCCTGCGGGGAAGCACAACTGTGGGTAAGAGGCAGAAGGTGCCTCTGTGTGCAGCTGTCCGATGGAAACCGGGGGGTGGGGTTCATGGATGACGTCATAATCAGTGGGGGAGTTCTGTTCGGAACCTCAGAGACGTTAGGCGAGGCCTCTGAGCTACTTCTGTGGACTGCTGCACTCTGAAGACAAGCCTACTTCTCTGGCTCCTTTGGACGCTGTCGCTGAGTCAGGTGAGTGGCCTGCCCCGCGACTTCGGTCACTTTAAGCCCTCTCAACACTACCTGACTGGCTTCATCATAGATGTCATGGTACTAGAAAGGCCAAGCTTGAATGGCCCAAGTCGGGGTTCTGTGTTCACATGCCAAGCAGCCCGCAGGAGGGCTGCAGGTGTTGGCTTGGTGCCTCAGAGGTGTCATTGTCTTGGCCATTGCCTCGTGGCCATCACCCTTAAGCCCTTAAACGGTGATTGAGGCAGCACACGGGATGGGATGGCACCCCCTCTTTTGTCAAGATGGAGAAAAGCCTTCCCGGGAGCTACCTAGGATGTCCCGTCCTCGTTGTCCAGAACCCCAGTGCCCTACCGAGGCCGGCTGCCAGGCTGGGCCCAGGGACGGGAGACTGCTGGCTCAGACCACAGACAATCCGCCAGCCACTCATTCACCCAAAAACAGTGCATGGGCGTCGGAGCGCCTGAGGGGTAGGTAGCGAGCAGCAGTGAGCCCCGGACAAAGCCCCTGCCTCGCACTGCTGACACCTTCACCAGGAAAACACATAGGATCAAATAAACACAGAACAGAAATCCCAAAGTCCATCCTGATGAAGTGTGTGCGGGAAGACAGAGCAGGTCAGCTGATGAGGAAGTTAGTGGGGAGGCGGGTACAATCTGAGTCCAGGGTCCCAGAAGGTGACATTTGAGCACTTAAAGTGGGTGAGCTAAAGAGTCGGGGGAATATTTTCAGGAGGGGTCGGGGAGCCAAAGACTCCAGCCGGGAACACAGGCTTGGTAAGCGGAAATCGGGCTGAGGTGGGGCGACCGGGAGGAGAGGGTAGGGCAGGGGGGCAGGGGCGCAAGGGGGCTCTTCTGTGCCTTAGAGCAAAGCCCGCAGGAGGCCAGGACACCAGGCTGGGTGGGGGGGCTGGGGAGGCCCGGCGCCGGCAGGGAGCACTGTGACTTCTGGGATGGATGAGACGGGGAGTATAAAAGGAGAATGGAGGGTGACAGCCCAGGTTTGGGGGAGAACAAGAGCTGTGAGCTGCAGCCTTGGGTCGGTAGGCCGGGGGTGAGGGGGCCTCGTGGGGCCTTGGGGGAGGAGACGCGCTCAGGGCTCCGGTGTTGCTCTGCCAAGGTGTCCTTGCTCTGTCCTGCCGCCCCGAGGCCTGCCCTGTGTCCTCTGCAGACCGAGCTGCCGGGCGTTGGAGGCCGGGCATGGAGGCCCCCCAGCTGCTGACGGCCGCCGTCCTGCTGTGCTCCGCCAGCTGCCTCCTGCCCGACGGCGCGGCGCCCACCTTCGGTGTCCAGGACGAGGCCGAGGCGCTGCCACCCCCGCGGGGTAGGTGCACGGGCTGCCCGGGAGGCTCAGGGCCCGTCAGTGCAGATCGGGTCAGCTGGAGGTTCCCCCCCCCTCCCCGTCTCCCACACTCCCGCAAAGAAAGAAGGAAACAGCCCTAAGGAGAACAGAAAAGCAGCGGCAGCGGGACGGCCGGGCCTGTGCAGCCAAGGCCGGGAGCACGGGAGGCAGCGCACGGGCCGGGACCGAGGCCGCTCCTGGGGACACCGGTCCCGGAGGCCCCCGCCGCGGCCCAGGCAGCCCAGGTGGTGTCCTGGCTGCGGAGGGGGACACGGACACCCCCGGGCCCGGGGTCGGGGCCGCAGCGGGGCTCACCTGGCGCTGCCCCATCCCACACGGTGGCTTTCCCGGCAGACAACCGCAGGTCCTGGCTGAGCAGCTTCCAGGACTACGTGTGGGACCGCATCAAGAGCTCCGTCCCCACGGCCGCTGTATTCGCCTTCCTTTTCGCCATCCTCCTAGTGGGGCTCCTCTGCTGCCTCACGTAAGCTGTGGGAGGGGGAGGAGGGGGAGAAGGGGGAGAGGGAGGAGGCGGAGCAGGGAGGAGGGGGAGAGGGAGGAGGAGGGAGAGGAGGGAGGAAGGAAGAGGAGGAGAGGGAGAGGGAGGAGGGGAGAGGGAGGAGGGGAGGAGGGAGAGAGGAGGGGGGAGAGGGAGGAAGAGGAAGGGAGGAGGAGGGAGGGAGGAGGGGGGAGGAGGAGGAAAGAGGAGGGAGGAAGGGAGGAGAGGGAGAGGAGGAAGAAGGAGGAAGGAAGGGAGGAAGGAGAGAGGGAGGAGGAGGGAGGGGAGAGAGGAGGGGGGAGAGGAGGGGGAGAAGAGGAGGGGAGAGGGAGGAGGGGGAGAGGGGAGGGAGGAGGGGGGAGAAGAGAGGGAGAGGAGGAGGGGAGAAGGAGGAGGGGAGAAAGGAGGGAGGGAGGGGGGAGGAAGGAGGGGAAGGAGGGGGAAGGGGGAGGGAGGAGAGGGGAAGGAGGAGGAGGGAAGGGAGGAGGAGGGAGAAGGGAAGAGGGAGGAGGGAGAGGGGAAGGGGGAGGAGGGAGAAGGAAGAGGGAGGAGGGAGGGGGGAAGGGAGGAGGAGGGACGGGGAGGGGGAGGGGGGAGAGGGAGGAAGGGAAGAGGAAGGAGGGGGAGGAGGAGGAGGAGGAGGGAGGAGGGGGAGGGAGGAGAGGGAGGAGGGGAAGAGGGGGGAGGAGAGGGAAGGGAGGAGGGAGGAGGGGAGGAGGGAGGGGGAGGAGGAGAGGAGGAGGAAGGAGGAGGGGGAGGGAGGAGGGAGGGAGGGGGAGGGAGGAGGGAGGAGAGGGAGGAGGGGAAGAAGGAGGAGGGGGAGGAGGGAGGAAGGAGGGAGGAAGGGGAAGAGAGGGGGAGAGGGAGGAGGGAGAGAGGGAGGAGGGAGGAGAGGAAGAGGAGGAAGAAGGAGGGAGGAGGGGGAGAGGGAGTAGAGGGAGGGAGGAGGGGAGGAGGGAGGGGGAAGGGAGGGAGGAGGAGAGGGAGGAGGGGGGAGGAAGAGGGAGGGAGGGGGAGGAGGAGGGGAGAGGAGAGGAGGGAAAGGGAGGAGGGGAGAGGGAGGAAGGGGAGAGGAGGAAGAGGAGGGAGGAGGGAGAGAAGGAGGGAGGGGAGAAGGAGGAGGGGGAGGAGGAAGAAGGAGGAGAGAGGAAGGGAGGAGGGAGAGGAGGAGGGGGGAGGGGAGAGGAGGAGGGGAGAGGAGGAGGGGGAGAGGAGAGGAGGGAGAGGGAGGAGGGGAAGGGAGGATGGGAAGAGGGAGGAGAGGGAGAGGGAGTAGGAGGGGGAGGGAGGAGGAGGGAGAAGGAGGAGGGGAGATGGAGGAGGGGGAGATGGAGGAGGGAGGAGGGACAGGGAGGAGGGGACAGGGAGGAGGGGGAGCGGGAGAGGGAGGAGGGGGAGGAGGCAGGCAGGAGGAGGGAGGCAGGGAGGAGGGAGGAGAGGGGCCCGACAGGCGGGGGAACTGCACCCCCAGCGCCCCCTCCCCCCGCGGGTCCGTCTGCGGTGAAGGCAAAGGTGAAGGCAAAGGTCAAGGCGGTGCGTGTGGCTTGCGGGCAGCGCCCATTGCAGCGGCGCGGCCGCGGATAAGCAGGTTTATGACTGTTTGCTTTTCCACGGACTTCGTTTCCTCCTCGTTATCTTTCCCTTGGGGTCAGGGAGTGCTCGTGGACACCGTGTAATCGGGTTTCCGAGTGGCGCCAATCCCAAGGTCGTGGCCCAAGGCTGCTGGGCTCCTGTCTGGGCGGGCAGGGAAGGCCCACGGGACACGGCGGACCGAGGGGTCGGGCGATGGGAGCAGCGTGTCCCCAGGCCCGCTCAGCTGCCTCGCCGGCGGCTGGTGAGTCGGAGCCGGGACAGCAGGACACCGTCGGCTGGGCCCGGGGGGCCAGAGGGCAGGGGGGCGTGTGGCCCCCGTGGGCCACCGACTATCTCCAGCGATCTCGGGAGCCACCCGGACCCTGCTCAGCGACACGCACCTCCGTGCAGCCAACAGACGTCAGCCGAGTTCTGCAGCGAAGCTTCTTGCCCAAGAAACCTACGTGCGCAGCCGCTGTTGGAGCCTTGAACCCGCGTTCGGACCACGGGCCTGGCGGGAGGGACGCGGGTTCGGGGTGTCAGGGACACCAGGCGCGCAGGCCCAACACAGCCTGGCTGACCCCACCAGCCTCCTCTCCCGTTAGCCCCAGTGGCAAAGACTGGGTTGTTTTGGAGGGGGTAAGAGCACATGAGAGTGGGGTGCGGGGGGCAGGGAGAGAGAATCCTAAGCAGGCTCCACACCCCGCGTGGAGCCGACCTGGGACTCGATCCCAGGACCCCCACATCACCACCATGTCTCAGTCGAGAGTCCGGAGCTAAACCGTCTGAGCCCCCCAGGCACCCGGGAAGCGGCGGAGCCTTTATCCAGGCTGCGTGTGGCCAACACCATGAGCCTGTCCCCGAGGGGCACCCTGGGTGGCATTTCTCCATGTCCCCTACGGGGCGGCCCCCTTCCGTAGGGCCAGAAAGGTGACACAGGCCCCAGGTGGATGTCAGGCAGCCTGCGAGCCTGGCAACATGTTCGGTCTTCCCAAGCCCGGGGAAAGGCCGCGTCTCCCCGCTCGGGAAGCCAACGCTCCAGTCCAGGGATCGGTGATCCCGAGTCCTGAAGTCCCCGCCACTGGGACAATGGCCACCAGCCCCGCTGCATCAGAAGCAGCCGAAGTATCGGTTAAACACACATGCTCGAAAGGACTTCTGTGCAGAGGGCAGGCGACGTGCCAGAGGTGCCCTTCCCTCTCTGGCGTAGATGGATCACCCTGGGGAGCAAAACCAGTAAGCCCCCGCAGGGCGGGCAAGCTGGCCACAGCGAGGACGGCGGGCAAGAGCAGAGGCAAGACACGGCAAGACAAAAGACGACATTGATGAAAAACTGACGGGAGCCGGGCAAGACCGGGTGTAAACGCTCATCTATTACGGCTGAGCTCATCTACTTAAACACCTTATCCGGTTATTAAAAATACTTGAGCGAAAGTCACCGAGGAGGGCACCTGATGGGATGCGCGCTGGGTGTTACACTGTGCGGTGGGAATCCGACTTCAACGAAGACAAGTGTTACATAAATAAATAAATGGCAAAAATAAATAAATAAATAAATAAATAAATAAATAAATAAATAAATAAATGCTCACATTACAATTGGCCGTTGAACAAAAAAAGTTTAAAGAAAGAAAGATTAGAAGGAAAACTGATAGATGCCAGAGGCACATTATTAACTTCTTTGTGGGAGATGACCAAAATAATACAACAGGGAAAAAAAAAACCCCACTTCAATGTATGATTTTTTTTAGATATTACAAAAATAAAGGTATATTTGAGTCTATGTCCATAAAGGGCACATGAAGACCCAGGAAAAATTGGTGCTTGGTACTAAGCACACGGTAGAGTCTCGATAATACAGATTTTTTTTGACATTTTATTTTGAAGGAATGTCTACCCCCAATGTTGGGCTTGAACTCACAACCCCGAAACCAGGAGTCGCACAGTCCACCAACTGAGCCAGCCAGGTGCCCCAGTAATATTGGTTTTTAAAAATTTCATTTTGAGGGACACCTCCCTGGCTCAGTGGTTGAGCGTCTGCCTTCGGCTCATGTCGTGACCCCAGGGTCCTGGGTTCGAGTCCCGCATCAGGCTACCTGCAGGGAGCTTGCTTCTCCCTCTGCATAGGTCTCCGCCTTTCTGTGTTTCCCATGAATAAAGAAAGAAAAATCTTTAAAGATCTAGATATATAAATTAATGAAAAATAAATGAAAATAAAAAATACATCTCACTGTAAGGATTGAACAGTTTCTCTGTGCTTCGGAACCTCTGTACTCACCTGTACAGCACTAGCTGCAGCTGTTACGAGGCCTTCAAGTAGTGGCTCAGAGCCTGGTGGCAATCAGGGACACCGACTGGCACTGTCAAGTATGTGAAGGAACGTGTGTAAGGAATTTTTACTATGGTTTTTAATAGTGAAAAAACAGACACAACTTAAATGTCCATCGGCTGGTTAAAGAAAGCACCAAACGTTCATACAATGAGCACTATATAGTCACCAAACGTTGTTGTAGAGGATCGTTATATGGAATTGTATTCCTGAAATATTATTGAGTGGGAAAAAGCCGATTATAATAGAGGATATACAATTTAACCTAGTTTGTTATTAGAAACTAGAGGCCGGGCAGCCCGGGTGGTGCAGTGGTTTGGCACCACCTTCGGCCCAGGACGTGATCCTGGAGATCTGGGATCGAGTCCCACGTCGGGCTCCCTGTGTGGAGCCTGCTTCTCCCTCTGCCTGTGTCTCTGCCTCTCTCTCTCTCTCTCTGTGTCTCTCATGAATAAATAAATAAAATCTTTAAAAAAAAAAAAAGGAAAAGAAACTAGGGGCACCTGGGTGCCTCAGTCAGCTAATATCAGACTGTTGATGTCAGTGTGGGTCTTGATCTTGGTCATGAGTTCAAGTTTGATGTTGGACTCCACGCAAGCATGGAGCCTACTTACTTGATAATTTGACATTATTGATAATTACTTTAACATCTATAATAATATTTCCATCAAACTTACCAAACTACATAATGACATTATGTGAGTTAGGATACGGTATGGGAAACGATAGCAAAGAGACAAAAATATAGTGATGTAAGACTGAGACTGTATTCATTTCTTTTTTTTTTTTTGCATTTCTTTCTTTTTTTAATAATAAATTTATTTTTATTGGTGAAAAAAATTTTTAATGAAAAAAATTAAAATAAATAAATAAATAAGTAAGTAAGTAAATAAAATGACAATCTAAAAAAAAGTAGATGTACAAGGCAAAAATCTTTTAGGGCTCTTACCAAAGTAATAGACATTGGTTATCTCCTCATGGTGGTAAATGCGCAGTTGGAATCATTATTTCTATTGCTGTTGTTATTGATTTTCATGTTGATTTTCAACTAATTACACTATCCAATCTTTCCAGAAGAAATTGTATTGTTTGGTTAATAAGTTCTTTAACAAAAATTTTATTTTTTTTAAAGATTTGTTTACTAATTTGAGAGAGAGAGAGCACAAGTGGGAAGGGACAGACAGAGAAGGAGAGAGAGAATCTTCAAGCAGACTCCCCGCTGGATGCCGAGCCCGAAGTGGGCTTCGATCCCTTGACCCGTCAGATCATGACCTGAGTCGAAACCAAGAGTCAGATACTTAACCGACTGAGCCACCCGGGCTCCCGTAAAGATACTTTGCAAGGAAGAGGAACGCCTGGGTGGCTCAGTTCATGGAGTGGGTGATCTTGGGGTCATGAGTTTGAGCTCCACATTGGGTGTACAAATTGCTGAAAATAAAAAAAAATTTTAATCGGTCAATCAAAACAAGAAAAGCTACATGACCGTACTTGTACATCGACCTCCCATCCCATCTATACGATGCTAAGACACATTCATAGTCTTATTGTCTCATCGAAGCATTTTGTCTGAATGAAATCATGCGGTTCATATTAAGGGGAGACGTTGTCTAAAATCATCTGTCGGAAAAGGTATCGTGACCACACAGTAACTGTGCGGACCAGGTCCCAGTGTTGTAACTTAAACTTAGTTCATCAAAACAAAACAAAACAAAAACTTCGCTCATCGATTTGTCTTCTTTTCCCAGTTTCGCCGTAGGTGAACCAGTCTAACGAAGTGCTACAAGATTCTGTTGCGCAGAATGTGCTGTCGCTTCCAACGAGGAACTACGTATCAATCAAAATTAAATTATCTTCCATCTTAAAGTCTGTTTGCCTTTCGTTTTGCCTTTAAAACATGTGATTCGACAATGGTAATATGCTGTTTTGATTATAATAGTGACACGTACTCATTACAAGACAATTCTCACAAAACACCGAAAGAAGAAAATGTACCTGTGATCCTAGTGCACAGACACGCTCTGAACATCTTGCTGTATCTCCATTTGTTTTTTTTTAAATTTTTATTTATTTATGCATGAAAGACACACAGAGAGAGGCAGAGACACAGGCAGAGGCAGAAGCAGGCCCCATGCAGGGAGCCCGACATGGGACTCGATCCCGGGACCCCGGGATCACGCCCTGGGCCGAAGACAGCACTAAACCCCTGAGCCACCCGGGGATCCCCTATTTCCTATGTTTGTATGACCAGTTTTTCCCCCAGGTCTTTTCTGTGTAATGAAAGTTCTGTTTTAATAGATGTCATGAGACAACAGGGCTCAGTGGTCAATTATGTTTGACAGACGCTGGATTCAATGGATTTACACGTTTCTTTGCTCCAGGACTTACAAGTGACCTAATACATAAAAATGTATTTATGTATTATTAATTTGTCTATCTATGTATTTGAGAGAGTGAGAGAGCAGCAGAGGGGTAGGGAGGAGCAGGCTCCCCTCTGAGCAGTGAGTCCAACAAGGGGCTCGGTCCCAGGACCGTGAGATCATGACCTGGGCAGATGTGTCCCGATCTCGGAGTCCTGGGATCAAGCCCCACATGGGGCTCTGTGCTCAGCGGGGAGCCAGCTTCTCCCTCTCGCTCTGCCCCTCCCCACTGCTTGTGCTCTCTCTCTCTCTCTCTCTCTCTCAAATAAATGCATAAAAAGAATTTTGTAAAAGGCCACCATGGATCTCCACAAGAGGCTACAATACACAGCATCTCCCCAATTTGAAGCTGGGATACTTCTTCAGGGAGTCCCCAACACCCTGAGGAGTGGCGGCGTGCAGGCAGGCACACAGATGTGCTCGCGTGGACACCTTCTCTTCTCCCATGCCGCGTGTGGCATTTTGTGGCCTGCCGCTTTGCCCACTGCGGGACACGTCAGGGCCCATATGTCTCTACGTAGGTGCACAGGTGTGCGGGACTGCGGGCCCACGTCGCTCCCCCACGGCGGGCTCCTCTCGGGTGTCTGTGCCCGTTGAAGGTGATGCTGTTCTAAACGCAGTGCTGCTCCCAGGCTTCGGGTGACCCCTTGGCTCTTCGCCTCGGCTGGTCCAAGCGCGGCCCTGCGCCCCGGGCCCTCGGGGGAGCCCTGCGGCAGCTGCCCAGTGCTGGGCCGGTCCCGCACACCCGCTCACCGGCTCGGGAGCACCGAGCTGCGGGAGGAGCCGGATCACTGTGTCTGGGGGGCAGCCCCGGGGGGTTCGAAGGCAGCCAAGAGGCCACAGTGACTGTGGGCGGAGCAGGTCCCTGGGGGCCACGGAGGCACCTGGGCTCCTCCTGGGGGTGACAAGGGCCCCCCAGACCGCCTGGGGCAGGGCAGGGCCTGTGAGCGACAGCTGTGTTCATGGGGTCATCGCAGCCACCCAGCAGAGAATATTGGGGAGCAGGGGCGTGGGGGGTGGGTGGGTGTCACAATGTGCGGGTCCAGAGAGGGGCTGCCGGGGTGGGAGCCAAAGCTGGCCAGGTAGGGGGACACGTAGGCCCCCAGGCGTGTGGCCTGAGTGCGGGGGATGGAGGGCTTCACGGAGCCGGGGAGCTGCAGGCAGGTGGGCACCTGCTACCTGGCCACGGGGGTCCCGGCGCCGACGCAGGTAAGACCCACAGAGTCGACCCGATTGTGGGCTACACCGGGCCGCGGGGACAGGAGGGCACACTGAACAAGCGCGTCGTGCCCTCCCCTGTCCTGGCTCCTCACCTGCCTTGCTGCCGTTGGGACTTTAAAAAACCTCCGTTGGGGGGATCCCTGGGTGGCGCAGCGGTTTGGCGCCTGCCTTTGGCCCAGGGCGCGATCCTGGAGATCCAGGATCGAATCCCACGTCGGGCTCCCGGTGCATGGAGCCTGCTTCTCCCTCTGCCCGTGTCTCTGCCTCTCTCTCTCTCACTGTGTGCCTATCATAAATAAATAAAAAAATAAAATAAAAAAAAAACCTCCGTTGGGGACACCAGGGGGTGAGGGGGTGGGGGTGGGGGGTGCGCTCAGCGGTTTAGCGCCGCCTCCGGCTCAGGGCGTGACCCCAGGGTCCCGGGATGGCATCCCGCGTCCGGCTCCCTGCGTGGGGCCTGCTTCTCCCTCTGCCTGGGTCTCTGCCTCTCTCTCTCTCTCTCTCTCTCTCTCTCTCATGAATAAAATCTTAAAAAAAAAAAAACCAGAAAACCTCCGTCGTCGGTGTCTTCTGTGCTCGGTTTAGGTCTGTAGCAACCCTTGATATATTGTTTGCCATCGGTTGGAAGGCCGATGATGCGGAAAATACCTTCTCCCAGGTGGAGGATTTCATTTTCACCCTTGATAGGATGCGTTTTTTTTTTATGATAGTCACAGAGAGAGAGAGAGAGAGAGAGAGAGAGAGACATAGGCAGAGAGAGAAGCAGGCTCCATGCACCGGGAGCCCGACGTGGGATTCGATCCCGGGTCTCCAGAATTGTGCCCTGGGCCAAAGGCAGGCACCAAACCGCTGCGCCACCCAGGGATCCCAATAGGACACGTCTTTAAGAGGGGACATACTTACTCTAAAGGGGTCCGATTTCACAATCACTTTCTTCTAAGGAGTCCTTTTGGACGTCGGCGTCATAAAGGAAGTGTCCTGTTTGGTCTTCTAAAAGTCTTGAGCTTTGGGCCTTTCAATTTTAAGTCCTTAAACTACTCCAAGTCAGTTTTATGTGATGTGACATGGGGTCCAATTTTATTTTATTTTTTAAAAGATTTTATGTCTTTGAGAAAGAGGAAGAGGCCGCGGGAGAAAGCAGGAGCAGGGGGAGGGGAGGAGAGGGAGGGAGAAGCCGGGCCCCAGGCGGGACTCGATCCCAGGCCCCGGGACCAGCCCTGAGCCCAAGGTGGGCCTCAACCACTGAGCCCCCCAGGCGCCCCCAGGCTTCTGTCTGTAATATGGTCAGAAGCTATACTGTTCCACTCAGGAACTCTGACCTGAATTTCTGTGCCTAAAGGCAGTTCCAGGAATTGAGAAAAGCAGATCATTGCAATAAATTCCAAGAAGCAATAAATTCCAAGGGAGCAAACGCAGGTTCTGAGCCCTGAGCACCTGGAACCAGAGCGGCCGCCCACAGGCAGGCGAATGACACCCCCGGTCCGGGCGGCTCCCCAGCCGGTGCTTTCCAGCCTCAGCTGAGCCTCCGTGTAGACCGGAGCCCAATCCGGCTCCAGGAGCCCCTCGCTGAAGCTCTCCTGCAGGGGACTGTGCACACCTGCCTCCCTTTCTTTTATTTTTTTTAAGATTTCATTTATTTATTCATAAGAAACTGAGAGAGAGAGAGGCAGAGACACAGGCAGAAGGAGAAGCAGGCCCCACGCAGGGAGCCCGATGCTGGACTCAATCCCGGGACCCCGGGTCGCCCCCTGGGCCCACCCTGCCTTCCTTTCTGACTGCTCTCAGCTTCCCCGCCGAGGGCCGGACCACTGAATCCCTCAGCTGCTCGGCTTGTCCAAACCTGACCGTGACTCGCCTCCGCAACTTTTATTTTTATTTTTTTAATTTTTATTTATTTATTTTTGCCTCCGCAGTTTTTAGATCCTCTTTGGTGGATTCCATCAGGTTGTTCTAATTCTGCCCCTAGGTAGGTAGAGTCACGCTTGCTCCTCGATGTTTGATCATCCTAGACGGAGCACTGAATGGTGTCTTTTAAAATCACATTCTCTGTGTGTTGCTGTTACATAGAAATGCAGTCAATTTCTGTATTTAGAAACCTACCAATCACCTTATTAATTTTAATAAGTTATCGACAGATTTTTAAGTATTTCACAAACACAATGAAATATCTGCAGATAGTGACAATTTTGTTTCTTCTTTTCCGATCTTTATGCCTTGATACTTTTATTTTTACCTTCCTGTGCTGGATGGGACTTACAATATGAAGTCTTAAAGGAAATGCAGGGATCCCTGGGTGGCACAGCGGTTTGGCGCCTGCCTTTGGCCCAGGGCGCGATCCTGGAGACCCGGGATCGAATCCCACGTCGGGCTCCCGGTGCATGGAGCCTGCTTCTCCCTCTGCCCGTGTCTCTGCCTCTCTCTCTCTCTCCCTGTGTGACTATCATAAAAAAAAAAAAGGAAATGCATTTAGCTTTTCACCACTAAGTATATTTGTTGTACATCTTTTATGAGTGACTTTTATTTTTTTTAAGGTTTCGCTTATTTATTCATGAGAGACACAGAGAGAGAGAGAGAGGGAGAAGCAGGCTCCATGCAGGGAGCCCGATGTGGGACTCGATCCAGGGACCCTGGGGTCACACCCTGAGTCAAAGGCAGCCCCTTAACCGCTGAGCCACCCAAGCGTCCCCTATGAATAACTTTTAAACGACTGGTTTGTTAAAAGTCTGGTTTTTAGTAGCATGAATAGATGTTGAATGAAATTCAATTTTTTCATCTACTGAGATAATAGGGTTTTCCTATTAACCTGATAACATGATTAATTTGGATCTATACATTTTCTTGTTTGTTTTTCTGAAATATTTTTTTATTTTTAATACTTGAGAGAGAGTGAGCACAAGTGGGGGTGCAGCAGAGGGAGAGGGAGAAGCAGGCTCCCCGCTGAGCCGGGGACCCAATGCGAGGACTCAATCCCAGGACCCTGGGATCATGACCTGAGCCGAAAGAAGGTTAACTGAATGAGCCACCCAAGGGCCCTGCAATTTTCTTATCTTAAAAAAAAGATTTTATTTATATATTTATGGAGAGAGGGTGGGGAAAGGAAATCTCAAGCAGACAGGGTTCAACTTTCCAACCCCGAGATCACGACCGGAGGGAAAATCAATAGGCCGACGCCCAAGCAATGAGCCACCCAGGCGCTCGGGGTCCATTGACTCTGTGGCGTTCGGGTCATCTTGCATGCAAATAGCTGAAGGTTTAGGCCCGATATGGTTATCTACAGTGTCTGCTGGGTCTCACCCCTGGGGCCTTGTTTGCTGATTTCTGTGTAGTGATTTTTTTTTTTTATTTTGCTGTGAGCTGCAAGGGCTGAACTTTGCCTAAAAATTCTCAAGGGAGAATATTTGTTTAGGAGGCCTCTGTGGTAGACTCGATCAGTAGTCCTGCAGGAAACAGATGAGCGGTCGCCAGGGGCCAAGGCCCAGGGGGCTGGGCAGTGGGCTTCATTTGGGGGTGATGACAATGTCCCTGGTGGGGGAGGGGGAGGGTTCCACAAGTCCGTGATGATACTAAAGACCACTCAATTGTTCATTGTGACCAGGTGAATTTTGTCTCATCTCGGCTAGTCCTCAGAGGAGCGCCCCCCCCCCCCCCCCCCCGCTTCATGGGCAGGTGGGCAAAGGGAAAGATGGTTGGGCTCCGAAGAAGCAAGGCCGTGTGTCCTTGAGTTTCTCTACTGAGACAAAACAGGCAACTGTCGTTTTTTTTTTTAAGATTTTATTTATTTATTAATGAGAGACACACACACACACACACACACACAGAGAGAGAGAGAGAGAGAGAGAGAGAGAGGCAGAGACCAGGCAGAGGGAGATGCAGGCTCCATGCAGGGAGCCCGACGTGGGACTCCATCTCGGGACCCCAGGATCATGCCCTGGGCCAAAGGCAGGTGGTAAGTCGCCGAGCCACCCGGGGATCCCCACAACTGTTGTTTTGAACATGTTCTATGTGCTCAGAGGAACGTGTGAGAAGTCGTAGGTCGAAGCGGGCAAGGCTGTTCCCTCTGGGCAGCGGGAGGGGACGCAGGAAGGGTTCTTCTGTCCTTTATATATTTGTGTATCTCTGATTTGTTTTGATCTTAGTGAAATAAGATTGTATTGTGGGAACATGCCCAGGCGGTTGGTGTGGGAGTTGGTCACAGGTCTTTGGTGTGAGCAAAGCCATTTTCACGAGCACAGTTGTACATGTCCCTAGTTGTACGTATTCAGGGATTGTTCTAGGATACAGGTACCTCGGCGTGGAATCGCTGGCTTGGAGGGGAGGGGCATGTTCCATTTTAAGAGAGTGCCTTCCTGGGCAGCCGGGGGGCTCAGCGGTTGAGCGCGGCCTTCAGCCCAGGGCCTGATCCTGGAGACCTGGGATCCAGTCCCATGTCGGGCTCATTGCATGGAGCCTGCTTCTCCCTCTGCCTGGGTCTCTGCCTCTCTCTCTCTCTCTGCATCTCTCTCTCTCTCTCTGTCTCTCAAGAATAAATAAATAAAAATTAAAAAAAAAGACAGGGTGCCTTCCTTAGTGGGGCTATCAGCTTTGACTGCCAGCAGCAAAGTCCAGGAACTCATGGAGTTGTATCACCTCTAACCCTGGATATTGTAAGACTAAAATTTTTGATGCCTGAGTGGGTATACAGTGGTATCTGATTGTGTTCTTTGTTTCTAAAGATTGCATTTATTTATTATTTTGTGTGTGAGAGGGACAGAGCAGAAGCAGGGGAGAGGCAGAGGGCGAGGAGGAAGCAGCCTGCCGGCTGAGCAAGGCCCCTTTGCGGGGTCCGTGTCAGGACCCCGAGGTCACGACCTGAGCCAGTGCAGTCTTCACTGTCCTGGCTCTAGCTGTCCTTCCTTTTCTGTCTGTGTGAGCTTCCATGGTGCCTTTAGGGTGCTGTTGGGGAAGGCAGCGTCAGTGCCGTGATCTCAGCCTTTTCACAGAGAAAAGCAGGTGACGCGGCTGTAAGCTGTTGCCCTCGGACTTTCTCCTTTTGGCCACGAGTTCCTGCAAGGTCCAAGTAAGATTCCTGAGAGTAAGGAAGTGCTGATAATGGTGGGAGGTCAGCAGCTGGGGTCAAGGAGGCCGGTCTCCGTCGGGTGCAGGTGGGCGTGGATGGGGTGGCGCGAGCTCTCCGAGTGCAGGCCCTGCTTGTTGTGCCCAGAAAGCCTGCCGTCCCCGGGGCCCTCGCTGCAGCGGCCCTCCGTTCGGGTGCTGGGCACCGCGGGCCAGGCTGCCTAGCACGTGTGGGCTCCCGGGGCCCCCGCCGCGGCCCCTGACGCGAGGAGCTGCGGCCCCCGAGCGGGACGCGGGGTGCGGGGCAGCGGTCGGCTCCGTGTGTGCAGCGCACGCGGCCGTCAATGACAGGGCACCCGCAGCCCCGGAGCCCTCCAGGCGTTTTCGCAACGCCGTGGCCCGCAGAGAGTTGTGGGTAAAGCGTGGCCCCGCGGGCCGGCTTCTCTGCGGGGGGCGCCGAGGGGGCCGGGCGGTGGCCGAGCCGGGGACCCGCGGCGGGCGGAGCGTGGGACCGCGGGGTCCCCCGAGCCCACCGGGTGCGGCCGCGGAGCCCGGGCGGGGGCGGAGCCCGGGCGGGCCCAGGGGCGGGGCCGAGCCGGGCGGGGCGGGGCCGACGCGGGGCCCCGCCCGTGCCCGCCCAGCGCGCGGCCGGGGGGAGGCGCCAGGCCGGGCCGCGCCGCCTCCGCCGCCTCCGCCGCCCCGCAGGCCTCCGCGCTCGCAGTCCCGGTTCGGCCCCGCTCGCGGCAGGCGGCCCCGCGCTCGGCTCCCGCAGGATGACGCTCAAGGCGAGCGAGGGCGAGGGCGGGGGCAGCATGCGCACCGCGCTCTCCGACCTCTACCTGGAGCACTTGCTGCAGAAGCGCAGCCGGCCCGAGGTGAGGGGGCCCCGCGGGGTCCCGGGGCCGGGCGGGGGGGCTCCGGGGCTCCAGGCCGCGCCGGCCGCCGCGGGAGCCGCTGGGTCTGCCCTGGGAGCGGAGGCCGCGGCGGCGGCGGCGCTGGCCCCGGAGGGCTTGGGGTGCGGCGGCCGTTGCCCAGGAGCCCTTCTCGGTGCGAATGAGCAGAGGCCGCGGCCTGCGCCCCGCGCTCGCTAAGGTCAAGAAAAACTTCTTCGGGGACGGAAGTCGGGGTGAGAGCAAGAGTTTAAGGAGCGGGTCCAAGAAGCGGAGGGCTGCCTGCTTGTCGGAAGGCTCGTGCTGGGCTCAGCAGAATCGGCTGGGAACCCAACTCTGTGAAGCGCGCACTCACCGCCCCGCGCATTCGGGAGGGCCCCTGGGGTGCACACGGGGTGGGTGGCCTTGTGTTTCAGCGGACGGACGGGGAGTCCCGGCGTTTCGGAGGCAGCTGGGCCCTCCAGGCTCCGGGGCCGGTGGCAGATCGCTATTGACCTCCACCCTCCGGTACCCCCGGGCGCGACGTTGACTGCCCGGCAGTAGCGCTCATCATCCTGAATGGGGACTTCAGCCCGCAAAATAAGGATGTCCCCTGGGGAGAGCGGCCTCCACCAGGGTGCTCAACCCCCCCCCCCCCGCACACACCCAGGCCGGCTCCCAGGTGGAGGGAGCCATCACCCAGAATATGGGCCCAACAGCCCCTCCACCCAGCCTGGCCTTCCTCACAGGGTGCTGATCATGTAGGACTACCGATTATCCAGAATAAGAGACAGAGACAGACACAGAGACACAGAGCCACCACACCTGGCACCAGCTGTGCAGTCTACCTGTACCGGCCTCAGAAGTCAGTGTGAACCTCTTTCCTAGACGCGGGATTGCTCAGGGAACGACTATGTCATGCTCCCTGGTTTTATCTTACTTTTTTTCTTTTTTTAAAAAAAGATTTTCTTTTTTATTCATGAGAGACAGAGAGAGAGAGAGGCAGAGACACAGGCAGAGGGAGAAGCAGGCTCCATGCAGGAGCCCAATGCAGAACTGGATCCCGGGACTGCAGGATCACACCCTGGGCCGAAGGCAGTGCTCAACCGCAGAGCCACCCAGGCTGCCCCTGCTTTTATTTGAAATGCCTAATAAATACGTCCTCAGAAATGTTTCCTGAATGAATAGACGCCCGCAGAGGTTTAGCAGAACCTTGCACACCCACAGATGAGAACACTGAAGATCCACAGGGCCAAGCAAACAGTGGAGCTGTGCAGCCTCCTTGGGCTGCTCGCTCAAGGAAACGATCGATAAGCATCAGCGCGGTGGTCACACCTGGCTGTTCTTTCCAGCAGTGAGCACCGCAGTCGAGGCTGCAGTGAACACCGGGGGAGGACAGCATGGTTATTTTTTTTTACGGATTTTATTTATTTATTCATGAGAGAGAGAGACAGAGGCAGAGACTCAGGCAGAGGGAGAGGCAGGCTCCATGCAGGGAGCCCAAGGCGGGACTCGATCCCGGGGCTCCAGGATCATGACCTGAGCCGAAGGCAGCACTAAACCGCTGAGCCACCCGGAGATCCCCTGGGACCCTCTTTTAATGTGTCCTTTTTTATATATACTTTATTTATCCATGAGGCACACAGAGGCAGAGACACAGGCAGAAGGAGAAGCAGGCTCCCTGCAGAGAGCCTGACGCAGGACTCGATCCCAGCTCCCCGAGATCACAGCCAGGCCTAAGGCGGGGCTAAACAGCTGAGCCCCCCAGGGATCCCCCGACAGCATGGTTATTCGGTTGGCAGCACAGCACTGCAAGGAGGGAATCACGATCTAAAACAACCCGTCTCCCCAGAGCCCGGGATTCTTTATAATCAGTTCACTTGGCCGAGCCTTCACTTTGTACTAAAAATCTCTTTATTACATTGACTTTTGGCAGCTTTATTGAGGTATAATTAGCATACATATGACTTATAAATGTATTTGGTCTGTTCGGTAGGGTTTCACAAATGCACACAGTGCTGTCACCATCCCCAAGATCGTGATACAGAAGGTTTTCACCCCTCCAGAAAGTTCCCTGGTGGACCTTTACATTCACCACCACCCCCGGAAACCTGCAAGTCACCCTGAAAACGGAGCTGCATTTTGACACTATCGTGTGGCCTTTTCAAGACTGTCAAATAAGTGCAATCCCACTGTACGCAGTCTTTCCTCTCAGGCTCCTTTCACTCGCCACACCCAGAGCCCCGTGTGTCACTCTGAGCAGCCCGGCCGCTCCTGACGGGCAGGCCTGAGGGACTGTGGCCCTTTGGGGAAAGAGGCCCTGTCATGACACGAGTCGTGTTGTAGGGCACCCTCTGAGTCAGCAGGCTGTGTGCAGTTGTGGGTTTCCCCTTGATCAGTGCGCCGGGCCCACTGGCTGGCCGCTGCATCCTGCTTTCCTAGAGGATTTGCAGGAGATGAAGGAAGACTTGCTAAACCCTTGGACAGAATAGTGTCCAGATCCGCCCGGGTGTGGACACTGGACGGATGACCCCAGTGCTTGTCGGGGCTTCACCTTCCCTCTGGGACTCTTATCTTTGGCCCCGACACGGGGCTCTGCCTCTGGCTCTCCTGTATACCCTCGGGTGAGCAGCTGAGGCTCTCTGTGCCTCGGGCTCCCCTGTGTCAGATGGACCCACTGAGGGTTGTGGACATGCTTACGCGGCATATGCTTGGTGACCGCGTTGGGCTGCACGGGTGCATCCAGCGTGTCCCTGAGAGCTGCCCGCGCAGTAGCAGCCGGCGCATCCTCCGACACTGGGAAGGAGCAGGAAAGGCTGGGAGGGAGTTGTTTGCCTTAATGGGATCCATAAAATGATGTCGCCAAAGACCTCACGGAAGGGGAACACTTTCTGTAAAAGTCCTAAAGGCTCAAGACCCAAAGTGTTGCTTCCCGAGTAGAGTCCACGTTCAATACAGGAAAAATACGGGGGCGCCTGGGTGGCTCGGGCGGTTCGGTGCCTGCTTTCTGCTCAGGCATGATCTCTGGGTCCTGGGATCCCACCGCCGTCCCCGCTCACGTGCTCTCCCAAATGAGTAAATCTTTCAAAAAAAGATGATTTTCCGGCACATTTGAACTGTGGCCTGTCTTCTGTATTGCAGTGTAGTTCTTTTCTTGGAGAAGCTCATAGGCCATGTGGGGCCTTATTCTTCACCGCAGTGCTCTGCGCTGCTCACGTTCCCCTGGTGTCCTGCTCGGCGGCGGCGGCGCGCCTGGGGGCTGGTGCGGTGACACTCCCTCCGTGTTCACCCGGGCGTATCCCACGCTGCAAAAGGCAGGCCGCGGTAGGCTTCCAGTAAGATCTGTCTGTTGACTGTTAGGCGGGCAACAGCATCACCGCACATTGGTGTTGTCCGTCCTCCAGGACCGAGGAGCCCAGAAGGGAAGGCGCGCGGGGGGGGGGGGGGTCGCTGTCAGAACATGGCCCAAGGGGTCCCCGGTGACTAGCGCCCCAGGCCCCGGGAACCGCCTGTGCAAAGCCAAGCACGTCCTCGCCCAGTGGGACACTCTGAGTGTGATCCTTCTTTGTTGTGAAAAGTAATATGCGCCACCCCCCGCCCCCATAGCCCCGGTCTTGGTCTTGCGGATCCAAACAGGTCTTGAGACACGGTCACATGTCCCCTGGGGCAGGGAGACAAAATCAGCTGACGTTTCATTGATGCAGGGATTTCACCCCTAAGCAGTGAGTTGCTCATACCTTTGAGTGTTGCTCACAACCGCAGCAGCCTGGGTGTGGGGTGCGGGAAGGCCAGAGTCAGCGTAGCTCCGAACGGGGCTGCGGGGAAGGGAAGTGACCCCAGGCTGGGAAACAGGAAGAAAAACTGCATTAGACAAGCAGGATTCTCTTTTCTGAACCTTCACTTTTCGCTTATGAAAAAACACGTAGGCCGCCGCACACGGAGGTCCGTGCCCGCAAGTCACCTTCCCTGCAGGCAGGCAGCCTTTGCCTCTGTGCACAGTGCACGGGGCAGATAAAGTGCGTCGGGAAGGATCTTTACACACTTGACCTTTGGATTGACTGATGTATGTGTTCTCGAGGCCCGGAGGGCCTGACCAACAGGGCACTAGTTAATGTACGATTTTAGGAGGGTTCTTGCCAGAAGCTTCCTGGCCCCTAGGCCTCCGGCCCCCCGCCCGCCCCAGCCACTCGGGGTGCCAGTGCCCGGAGCCCTGCTGGCTCTCCCTGCTCCCCCTTTTCCAGAGTGCACGACCGCCTGCGCCCTGGCCTGGCGCTGCCCCGGCTCCGCGGGGAAGCGGTTGGCCAAGAGCCTGACAGTGGGCTGAACAAATGTTTGTTCTCGCCTACGTTCCCTGCCACGCATTCTTAATCCGATTGTTTGGATGAAAAACCCCGCTTGGGTTTTTTTTTTTTGTTTTTGTTTTCTTCACCCCCCCCCCGCCCCCGCCCCGTTTGTTTTTCATCTCTAAGTCCCAACTTCCTTTGAGCAGCTGCCTCTGCCCTTTGAACCCCGCGCAGATGTTTCCTCCGAGGGCTTTCGGGGATCGGGCCTGCCCACCGCAGCGCTTTGTGCGCCGTCCTGGGGCCCTGGGCCCCCCCAAGCCCTGGGGGCGCGGTTGTCGCCTGCAGGCGGGGCCCCGGGGCCCGCGCGGCCATCGGAAGCCGGCAGCCCGCAGCGACGTTGGCCTTCGTGGTCAGCGCTGCCCGGGTCACGCGGCACAGGCGGCGGTGGCGACGCCGGTGGCACAAGTGGCTCGCGGGGCAGTGCGCAGCGCGCACGGGGCCCGGTTGGGATGACAGCGTGGGCGCGTGTCCCGAGCGGAGCGCGCAGGCCGGGGCGAGCTCCCCGGGCGCTGTCCCTGCGCCCCCCCCCCCCCGCCGTCCCGAGGCCTGTGCGCTCCTCGCCTGGCGCACCCGGCCGAGGCTCTGCGACGCCGTGTGCATGCGTGTACGTGCCTGTATGCGCGTGTGCCTCTGTGCGCATGTGCGCGCGTCGGCATGTGCCTG